CTTTTCTCTCTCTCTCTCTTTCAGACACACACACACACACACACACACACACACACAGGCCTCTCTTTTCCTCTTGTTCACTCTCTCGCTGCAGCACACACTGCAGTGCCTCTGCAGCCAGCATCACGTTTTCTGGTTGTCAGAGAGAAAAAAAATCAGCCAATGAGGAGCAGAACCACACTCCCACCCCCACTCTCATACCCCCATCTAAGCACACAAACGCATATTTACACACAGGCGCACACGCGGCCTTTTCAGATATGAAAGCACCAGAAGCTATGAATCATACTTTACATGCACAGACTCAAATGAATGGTTCAGTGCACCAGCTGGGCACAGGAAGCTGGTATAAACAGATCTGTAATCTACAGAGTACAGCTGATACACGAGATGAGAAAACAAAAGACAACCTGACCCACTGATTTACTGCGTACCTGACTGGAAACTCTGGAAAAAAAAATCAGTCACTGCACGTCAGTTTACAGGCTCTATAAACACAAACTGGAGCAGGGAGATGTTATTTGTATTAATTCTTCTTTAAGACTTTTAATTTGATTTTTTCAAAGCTAAATCTGAGACTGCGGATTTTTCTGTAAATTCACTCAAAAACTTAAATGCACTATCCTAAGCCCTGGACCCACATAAGCAGGGATGTTGCATAATAAGTTTCTATCTGCTCAAGCTTTCATGCTGACCAATAGATAATCCTCAGATCAAAGTAGGAAAAGACAGCATGTGAATTTTCTATTAAAGCAATAGGGGTTTGCTTACATAATGTGGGAATCAAATGCATAATATATTTGACGTACAATGACAACTCTGCATACCAATTAGCTCCCTCTTAGCATATTTTGTAGCATTTGCCTCAGGTAACGATTCATGTTTCAAATCATGCAGAATTTCCAACATTCATGGCGCCTGCTACAGGACTACACCATTCACAAAGACAGTCACATTTAATAGCTGGATTTTAAAAGTCTAAAAACTGCAGTACAACTGCAGAATAAAATAAGTCTTCAACTGCTGACTACAGTAAATCAATGCTGCTGCATAAAACTGACCAAAATGTGAACCGAAACAGTTCAGTGACTAACTTGAAGATATTTTCAGCAGACTTTTTTTTATGTAGCATTGTCTCCCTGAGGGCAGCATGCTGTAGGAAAAAAAGGAGGCCTTCTCCCCGTACCTTACCTTACCTTAGAGGCCATGAATCACCTGGCTTTATACGGAGCTGGAGAGAGTGCATGTGAAATCTGTGGCTTTCTGCTGAGGGCTAGACAGGATGTCTGGAGAGCGCTCAAGGCTAAAGTTAAACTATCTGCTGATTAATATCTGAAGCTGAAGGTAAGCTGGCTGCTTGATGAAATGTCTGATTTCCCATTACACACGTGTCAAAAAATATTGCGCAATACACGCTGTTACCAGCACCAATGAGAGAGCGAGGTAATTTATTTTAACAGCTACTAAGTAATTATATCTTATCAATTAATTAGCACCTCGGTTATTTTTATTTACTAGTGCATGCCCATGCTACAGTAATGTTTGGTTTGTTTATGAGCTGAAATGATGATTGTTATAAGGCATAGGTGCACAAATACAAAAAAGTAGGTCATTTGAGACCATGGCTAGGTGGTTGCTATGCAACATGATGAGGTTAAATAACACAGGGCCTGTAATTCGGCTTTTCTGGTTATAGATAAAGTGTTGCTGTCTTGAAATTAAGGTGTAAAAAGGCAGAAAACAGGTGATTTTAGCTGTTGCCAGGTGGCTGCCAAGTACCTGCTGGTGTTATGTATAATCAGAGGTGGCCCATAAAAACAGTTAAAGCGTTTTTTTAAGAGTATCATACTAATATCAGGTTTAAAACAATATTAATTGGAGGGAATATAAACTTTATTTCATCCCAGAGAAAGCAGATAAAAGCAAAGGGCATAAAATAAATCTAGCTGTATTTGCTGTTACCTGCATTGTAAAAGAGTGACTTAGCCTTAGCACCTACAGAGAAAAATGAGTAAAATCATAAGTTAAAGTGTGATTTGGCAGGTAAGGGGCAACATGGGGAACAGAATTATTTAGAAATAAGTCACAATAATTTGCATTGTGGGTGCAAGTACAGTTTCTGTACTGAGTCTTGCCTATATAAACCTTGTATGAAGATGATATTCAGTGGATGAATTTAATCAGTATCATCACCTTAATAAAATTATGTCTGCTAAACTTAACGTAGCCTCACACAGACCATGAACACCACAGCTCATCTACATCTGTCCAATATAGTGTATAGCTATAAACAGCACTGCACACCATCCAGTGTAGGCAGGAATAAACTGCCTGGTATTTTTAAGTAACCCTTTAATAACACAAAGTCAGTATAACATTTATATGTTTTGCAGGATGTTTCACACTATGAAAAAAACATAACTTTAGGAACATATAATGCATAGGTCCACCATCTGTCCATCATGTGCATTTGTATTGATGTAAAAATTCTCCTCCCTCTTTAATTTCATTGTGTGAGGTGAAACTAATTTGGTTGGATGTTTGAAGGACTGAAGTGACAAGAAGTAATAACTCCTTTTGAAGAAAGGAGAAAGAAAAACTTTTGAAGCATTTTTAAACTGACTTGATTGTTGGTTCTGTGGATGCAGGTTTTGACCATTGAAATTCACAGTTAAATTTACTTGTTTTTCAAATACATAAGAAGAGGTGGGCGTGAAATGATGTCGTTCCTGGTACAATAGCTCTGATTTGTTTGGTAACTCAGAACTAAAATAATTTTATATAAGCATGAAAGATGAAAATTGTTTCTCCTGATGATTTTGTAGTTCTATTTAGAAAGTAGGATATCATCCAGCACACACACCAAACTCATTAGAAAGCACTTCCACTGGTGTCAGTTTACAGTCAAATGAGTGCTGGGTGCGAATACAGCCAGTGCCACACCAATTACAGAATTAAACTGGAGGTGTAATATCACATATGTCATGTTAAACCCCAACCCAAATCTTCTGCCACTAGATGGCGCCTGTGTCTAAGCCACCTTTGTCTTCTCCTGTGTTCTTCCTCCTGTGTCAAACGCTGATTGGTATCTTTACAGAACAACAAATATGTGCCGTTTTCACTCTGTATCATTTGAGTGTTGGTCACAGATATAGCTTCCTGTTATAAATCTGTAAAGATTCCATAACCAGACGTAATCATTTAGTAGCTTTGTGAAGCTTATTGGGAGACATTTTGTCGTCCTCAGTATCAGTTAGGTACTGATTTATAGAGAGTCATAACCAGTGCCTTTTATTGCATAAAGGTGGCACTGTGAGGGACCTTTAGGCTCCCGTCTCATCAAAGTCGCTGCATAGTTACTTAATCACACAACTTGTGTAAGTCTTGTGCTGCACATTCAGTCCCCAAGGGCTCACAGTGCTATTAAGCATTTGTTATCACAAGCCCTTTCCCCCTTATTTTAAATGGACATCAGGCTGAACACACTGAAGATAATTTATTTCATTTAAGCTTTTTCTTCTTTTCCTTAAACAGAGGCACAGTGTCATACAATGCTGCATATCACAATACACTCAATCTTTTGTTTGCAGCTTCGAAATAATGTCAAACACTTCCAGTTCCTCGTCACAGACAGGCAATGAAGCTGATCTACAGACAGTGTTTGCACACTAGCAATAAAATGAAAAAAACAAAACAAAACTCTTCTCCCCAGGGGGAGTGAGATAAGCATATATTTTGTCTCAGGTTGTTGGTTTGTTTTCGGGTTTTTTAGGCTTAGTTACCGTTTGCATCTGCCAGAGATTAGTTGTAGGGAGCTATAAAGTAATATACACCTGGTGAAGAGTAAGCTGGAGGTAAAAGATATAAACGTTAAGGGAACAAAGCCTGAAGGTCCAAGCAATCATAAATGATTCAACCGTTCATATGCTGGTGATCTGCAATCAGTGCACATTAACCACAGAGTTACTGATAAGATAGAGTTAATGGGAATGACTCACAGGCCTTCTAGTAAATTCAAAAATAGTACTACATGTTTGTTTGAAATTTAACATTTGTTTACCGAGCAATACGAATGAAATTCATCCTCAGTTAGAGCAGAAAAATTTTACAACAATCAGAAAACAAATAATTTACATTTAGTTTAACAGAAACAAGAATAAACCATTAGAGGGCAGTAGAGTTAGTCAGCCATGACTATTGAGTGATTCTCAGCCCTTCATCCCTGAGATGCTTTTATTCATTAACACCTAAAACAACACAGAGTAAGGTGTGTGGATTTAAGAAGTGACAGCACTAATGGACTTTGAGCACACATAATCAGGAAACAGAGCTTAAGTGGAATGAGGTAGCACACACTGTAATTCGAGGAATTTTAAAGTATCTCCCATGCTGTGCTTTGTTGGTTTTATATAACAGATCGCTTGCTGGTGTATTGTATATTATTTTGTTTCCCTTCTTCACTGACAGAAGACAGCATCCTGAATTTTAAAACAGACATGCTCTCTTCCCCTTCTCCCCACTCTTGTGTAAACTCGAAAGTACAAAAGACACTCATGACGTTTTTAAAATTCCTTTAGTTGGAGATTGGCTTTGAACAGATTAATCATTAATTAAATAGATTACAAGCGTGTGCTGCAGCTCATTTTATCGTGTTGTGGTTAATATGTGTTGCAAATGAAACCACACATTTACACAACGCTTACTGCGTGAGAGTGGTCTCTACAGGTGGATGCAAACCTGCAGCTCCTGTCGTGAGCTGTTTAAAAGTTTCTGTTAAGACGAGGAAGAAAACTCATGGGGACAATGGGTAGCATGCAAATATGAATATACACAACTTTAACATGTCTTACAGTAAGTGCAATATGTGTTCATATATTACAGTGCGATCTACCAGGACGAGTTAATGAAAAGCACAGTGCTTCATAAAAATATATTTTACATCAAAGGCTAAACATTGTAATATAGTTTACAAGTGCATGATTGTGTTTTAGAGTGTTGAGGGCTAGTGAGTGGTGTGTTATATTTGTATAAATTAGAGAGTCAGAGAGCACTTGAAATCAGCTGACTCTTAGCCAAAATAGCCATGACAGAACACGCACACACACAGAAGGATGATGGCGTTGGCATTGACCACGTTCCTCCACAGAGGCACCTCTGAGGTGTCTGTCAGCTTCTTCTTCAGCTCTTCCTCCTCTTCTTTAGTCAGCTTGGGGGCTTTCTTGGTTTCCAGGCCACAGAAGCTCATCACCGCCTTCTTACAGAAGCCAGGCTCATCATCCTCTGCAAAAGAAGAAACAAGAAAAATGAAAGTTTGCATGTATCTGTGCATGAATGCATATTTACTCTGTATGTATGCTGGGTACGAGAGCTCCTTACCGTCTGAGTCCTCACTGCTGGAATCTTGGTTATCAGCCCAATCATCCATCTCAAGGTCAACCCTCTCCTCCGTGCGGTTTCTCAGGCTCCAGCACAGTCGGTACAGCTAGTCAAACGACAAAGCACGTGGTCAGAAATAGATTATTTGTCATTTTATTTTGGGGTTTCTTCTTAATAGCTTACTAAATGTTGGTTCATGCAAAGACTTGACTAGATGGCTATGTGGTTGTAGAGACTGGTGATGACTCACTTTGTTATTACGAAATTACTATTCAGACTGCAGTACGTTTTTGCGCTGTAGAAACATCAAAGATGCTGCATAGATCACATGTTTAGTTTGTTTGCATTGAAGTAATAATATAGTCAATAAATATTAATATAATAAGATACAAAATGGGAATTTGCACATATCTTCTTACCATCAGCCAAACATACAATTTTTTTGTAATGCCTAAATGATGTCAACAACAATACTTTGTCCTCTGCAGTTAGGCGTGGCAGCTTGAGGAGATGTGAAGGCCACCAGTAAGGACTTAAGCAGTTTCTCATGTGTAGATGCTGCCGTTTAAATAGCTAGTTGCCTGTGGTTATTAGCTGCACTCCTCTTTTTACTCCTCAGTTGTTCTTATGTTGCCGTTGTACGGCATTAACCTTTGTCTGCTCTTTCTTGTAGTTTGTACTTTATCCTGGTTGTACATTCTTCTTTCATGCCTTTTCTTTCCTCTTACCCCTGAGCTGCTGACTGCCACTCCCTGATCTTGGTTCTGCTGTCCTATTAAAAAGGGAGTTCTTCCTCCACATCATTGCCAAGTCCTCACTCATCTGATCATTGGGGTTCTCAATTTAAGAGTGTGTCTTCTTCTTTCAGCTGCTCCCTTTAAGGGGTTAATGCAAAGTTCTGTAATCGTTTTGAGTGAGTAAACGCACTGACACGAAAGATTTACAGAACATAAATGTTCTGTAAAACATTTGTTGTAACATGTAAGTGCCTAGAATTAGACAATTAGCCTTCTTGCTCTTATACAAGCTTCTTGGTGTTTGTTACAGCCCATTAAGAATAGTTACTGTTTTTACTGGTGTTTTTAGTAGCAATGACGTGTGTATGTGTAAGAATATGACGGCTTAATTTTTATTCTCACAGATTTATTCTCACTATAATAATAGTAAACTCGAAGCAAACCAAAATGTGTCACTGCAAACCAAGTGACTGCTTATTGGCTGATCTATTGCTGCCTAAAGTGCTGTGGGCAGGTGAGCTTTGGCAACAATCATCAAAAACTTGATAGTTATGTTGGAGTAAATGCTCTCCCCTAATTTACATAATAATAATAATAATAATTTATCACTTACATGTTTGTCATCGATGGGTTTGGTCATGAGAGACACTGCCAGAATGATGACGCAGGAGATGACAAACAGGAGGATCCCAAAGTAAAGGTAGTGAACGCCACATATGATAGTGGGACAGTTACTGGGGGAAGCACAGCTACCTGTCCCATAAACAAACTCAGCAATCATCCTCGTCAAGCCAATAACCAGTCCAATTACCAGTCCAAAAAAGGCCCCCTGGAGAAAGAAAGAAAAAGAACAAAGGTCAGTCTAAATCAAGTAAAGTGAGTGATATTACCACAATATTGTATTTAAGGGAATGATTTTGGATAGATCCTTCTTGCTGTACATTTGATCACGTCAACACCACTCTTTGCTGCACAAAAATTAGGAAGCTATCACCATGACATGCTCCTACTAACACTTGCAACACTTTTGGACTAAAATAGAACCAGGCAGAAAATTACTGACCTAAAACTGATTCTCCCCAAAATGCTGGTATTCTTAAGGTCTGCACACACCAGAAGTGACAATTGGATGACCTCAGAACTCAGTAATTTAGTTGTGAATGAGCATCAAAGTTTGGCCTCACAAGCTTTCTGACTTTCAGGTTTTTAAGCAGGAAATTTCAGAAATGATACACAAGGATAACTGGCTTGTGTGTAGAGCGGCTCTGACAAAAAGCACTCTAAAGGCTTTCCTTTATTTCCAGTCCATATACTAAGCTAACATAAGCTAACCAGCTCTTGGCTCCAGCTTATTTCCTGTACAGACATGAGATTTGTACCAATCATCTCATTTAACCCACAGCAAGAATGGAAACAAATGTTATTTTTCAATAAATCTCAGAGGTATAGAGAGGTAGAGAAAAATAATGTCAGTGCACAAAACCACACTGAAAATCTGATTTAAAAAAGAAAAAAAAAAGAACATTGAATCAAAGGAGGCAACTCACAGTCTCATTGACACGTTTGCAGAAGATGGCAAGCAAGAAGACAGCTGCGACAGGTGGAGTTAGGAAGCTGGTGATGGACTGGATGTAGTCGAAGAGCTGACCACTTTGGGCTGCTTGCACCACAGGAATCCATGCTATGCTCACACCAATCAGGACCAAGATAAAAACTCTAGACATTTTAAACAAATCCAATCAGTATTCAACAATTTAGACGATGATTATATCAGACACAGCGACGAAAATGTGTTTTACCTGCCAGCAATCATAAGTTCCTTCTCACTAGCAGAGCGACGGATCTTAGTGTAGATGTCCATGGTGAAGAGAGTACTGGCACTGTTGAAGATAGAGGTAAGGGAGCTCATCAAAGAGGCCAGCATCACAGACAGCATAAGACCTCGCAAGCCTGAAATAGAGTAACAGATCAAGAAAAGGAAAGATAAGCAAAGAAGCCTGGAGTTATTATTAACAGCTCCTAAGACAAAGGTCACCAACCATCAGGCATGAGTTCGACGACCAGTTTCGGATAAGCGATGTTGCTGCAGCCCACCGCGGTCCCACAGTATTTTTCACATTCAGCTGGATCCACACATGCTATCACATCTAGATTAAAGGCAAGAAAATCCACAGTGCGTGAGGTCAGCACTGAATAATTTTGTGTAATTAATTTGTAATTAATTTGTGTAATTAACCAATAAGCTTGCTACATAAATTACATGTAACACACATGTAACCACACTCACCTGTGTACAGGATCCTGCTAATCATCCCGGGGAAAACCATGAGGAACATGGGCAGCAGCTTCAGGTAACCACATAGGATACAACCTGCTTTAACGTGAGAGAGACTCTTGGCAGAGAGGCAGCGCTGCACAATCACCTACAATTAGGAAACAATTGGAGTACAGTTCAGTGGTCATAAGCAACTAAATACATTTACTCAGGTATCACAATTTTACGCACATTTACTGTACTTTTAAACGTGGTGATAGTTGTTATTTCTAGTTCATTGAGATTCGATGCAAAATATACTTGTAGAATAGTAATGTCTTTTACATTCAAACTAAGATTTCACAAATCATATGATATGTTTCCAAATTATAAAGTATAGTTTATACATGTAGAGGAACATCTATGAACGTTCAAGAGCATAAGCTTCAACAAGACTCATTTTTAGAAAATAATATGTAGAATATGTGGTCATGGAAAATACTTTGGGTACTAGAAGCTTTTATCTGCTTTCTAGACTTGTCCAGTCACATTGGAGCAGACTTTGTGCGCATGGTGTTAAATAAAAGCTTATAATTTCGAAATCATCAACTATCATGAAAACATGGGTTTTTATGGGCTTGTTTAATTTATCTGTATCCACACAGGATACACCTTTCAGACACACAAAACATAAACCAATTTCTCCAGCATTTATTATGCATTGCTATTTACTTGTTTAATTTGTATTGCCAGGGATGTTACAGAGTGCACTGTGATGTTCTTTACCTTTTGAAATTTAACTTATCAGCTTTATAAATACTGAAGCTGTTGGAGTGCTCACCTTAAAGATGCTAAAAGTTTAATTTAAGATCCAACCACTTTGGGTCACCAGTGTATTGTTCTTTTTCTCTTGAAGTCATTGGCTCTCTATTGATGCATGCTGCTTCCTGTTTGGAAGCAGTTTGCTTGCATATATTCCAGGATCCTGTTGTCTGGCTAACACTCTTATGTATAAAACAACAGTAGTATAATCACTAAATCCAGACATAAATTAAGAACCCTTTTCTCAAAACACAATACAGTATTGATTCAAAAAGTCCAAAACACCAGGAAACAGATCCAGAGATCCCAACAGACAGTTAACTTGGGTCCGCTGCAGGTACTGCAGTGTAGTGGTTCTTGCATTTGTGCAACATCTCCAAAATCAGAAAAATATGGTCTCAGAGTGATGTTAGTGATGCTTATTACTTCTAGGTGGTATTATTATCAGCTTGTCCTAAAAGCCCCCTGATAAGCCTTCAGCTGACCTGCTTGCGTTGCCAATAGTTAGTTTACTCATTGTTGCTTGAGAATACTGAATTTCATTGACTTGTTACAATGTCTGGTTGCCACGTTGCCAGTCTCTTCTGTGTGTACACCTGTTCATAGCCCTGCATTAATTGACTGCAAAGCCTATACAAGTGGCTGACACTATATTTTTACATTTGCACTTATGAGCTGGTGTGGAAAAAAAAAACCAACTAAATTTGGAACGATCATGGCTTTTACTTGAACTTGAAACACGAATTGTCAGAGCTATGAAAATTAAAAACACAACATATGTAGTTCGTGTTAGGATTGTGAGCAAACTAGATACAATTGCACTCTATTTGGTTTAGCAGATGTATTATCCTTATGCTAATTGATATACCCTATTTACATGGCATATTACTACCATGCAGACCTATCATAGTTGTTGATGTCTGCATTTGCGCAACGTGTATGAACATTTCTAGAAAGCTGAACGTCAGGCTGTAGTAATACAGTACTGTAAATCAAGCTTAAATCAACAGCCTGGCCAATTGATTCTGAGCATAAGGGGGACTTGGCTGAATGATAGACTGGGTGGGTAAGTGGTTGTCATGGATTTCAAACCACTTTCAGTCTTTGTGGTTGAACTCAAAATGTTTGCTGAGTAAACCAAAGAAGCAAATCATCTTCTTCTGTAATGGAAAATAGATATACCATAATGTTTTGTTCGTGTGTGCTCTATGTCACATGAATTGGTGTCAGGCTCTCGCTGAGATCCAGCGTCTAAACTAAAAGCATAGTTATCCTCTCACTGCAGACTGTTTTTTGAATATTGTTTTTTTTTTAAAACCTGTATGAACGGGCATGAATGTGCATGAACATGCATGTGAGTAAATCAGTTGGCTGAGTCAGTGTTTATGACCACCCATTTGTTGTGAATGATTGCTAAAAACTATTGACGTGCCCAGCTTGATCCAAGACTCCATCTGCATTTTCAACACCTTGAACATGAATTTCTTCCAAATTATCTCTCCGCATAGAAATTGAGTCTAGTATGAATATGTGAACACACCGAGGCAATCAGTTGAACGTGTCTCAGTTTTTCACTACAGACTGGTTGCTAAAAACTGCAGTTGAGCTGCCCAGTGCTCATTTCTTTGCTCACCTGATCAGTACACCAGTACCAGGTAGCCTGAATGGTGAGTCCAAACACGAGACCAGGCCATGGGAGGTCTCCTGTAACTGCATTTCTGAAGATATGGAAGGAGTCTGGCCGGGGCTCATAGCAGTTTGCACTGATGTTACCCGTGACTGAGGGGATAGCTTGCATGTAGAGTTTCTCAAAGTTTACATAGCCTCCCACCTCATGGAAAGCTAAGGAAAATCATATGGAAATTAGACTTTTTAAAAAAAAAACAAAAAAAAACAAAAAACCTTTCAAACAGATATGTGATATATGATAAGTGTCATATTACCAAAGCCCATGAGAATGAATGATCCAATAACCATGATGATGGTCTGTAAAGTGTCTGTGTAGATCACTGCTGCCAGTCCACCTGAGATAAAATAGGATTATTGATGTTATGTCAATGTTATAAATCTGTAAACATTTTCACCTAAAATTGACATTTTATCACAACTAACAGACTACACTTGTTTGAAAGAACAAAAATCAACTCATCATATCATTATGTAACTACTCATTCTGTAAGACTTGTAATTGTGGATGTGTTGTTACAAAACAGCAACAGAAGGCCAATTCAGGCTTATCATAGTCCATGGGCAATTAACCACAGCAACTCAGCAAAGATAAACCAGCAATGAGGAAAGAAAGAGATTGTGTGTATGTGGCGTGTGTCTACATCACCACATATGGGCTTGGGAAGACTTTACCCCGGTCATAATATAATTTTTGTAGATAACACTTCTTGGGTAGTTTTCTGAGGAAAATGTCAATCTATAAGTTCCATAGAAAAGGAAGTGTATTTCTGCCGTGTACAAACCTGTGACAGTGTACAGTGCCGTAATCGCTAGAAGTGCAATAACAGCGACGTAGATGTTCAACCCAAGCGCCTGCTGGATGAAAATTGCACCCGAGAACATGTCTGCCTATATGGGGAAGGGTAAAAAATGCAGGATTTTATTCAAGATCATCCACAAATGGAACAGTGTGTTCTGCATCTCTTGGAGGGACTCACTGAGATTTTGGTGAAGACATACAAGAAGAGGGAGAGAACAGAGAGATAAATGCGAATGCGCTGTCCTCCAAACCTCTTCTTCAAGTACTCAGGCATGGTGACGATCTAAATACATCGACAAGAGATGAGATTTTACTCATTACTCACACTGTAGATAAACACAGTGATTATGAATGCCCATTTGGATAGAGGAATTAATACATATAGGGAGCTTTCAGGCCAGTGTGTAGCAATAGTATTCTGTTTACCCCAGCTTTAATGTAGATGGGCACAAAGAGCCATCCCAGAATGACAACCACAACAAGAGCCTGAAAAACACAACCATAGAAGAAATAATCAGATATCCTCTATCATTTCATCCTCTTCAGGCCGGAGCTCAGTTGACCTGACAAAGATAACTGATAGAGTATCAGGGACAAGAACTACATGAGAAGTGATATAACTGACTCAAGAACAGTTACTCACATTCCATTCAAATCCACCAATGGCTATTCCTGCAGCTGCGCCAGTACCAGCGATTCCTACAAAGTGGCCACTGCCAATATTGCTGGCAAACAGCGATGCTCCGATCTGTGGAGAGCACAGTTAAATCTGTCAGTAGCTCCTTTTAAAATTCAATCAGAATCCATCATGGTTTTTTTTTGAAAGGTCATATACTCAGCATACTAAATAAGTACTAAATGGTTTTACACACTTGATTGCTCTAATAAAAATATGACAATTCATAAAAATCTTCTATTATGACACCCTTAATCACATTACATTCCATCTATTAGAACTAAGCAATAAGAATTTATTACTTCACATGGATTAGAAAGTAAAGGAGCCTTCCAAGGAAAGATACTCACCGGCCACCAAACCATACTCCTCCCTGCAAGGAAGAAGCCACCTACAGTGGATCGGTTGGTGCGGATCATAGCCTGTAATAGAACAATTTTTGAAAATGATTAAATCTGTACAAAATAGCAACACTCTGATAATCTGTTTATAAGCATCACATACAATATATGGACAAAAGTATCAGGCCACACCGCTTAAGTTTTCAGTTCCATTGCCACAGGTGTATGAAATCAAGCACCACTTGAATACCACTGTTGCAACTAGTCCCTTAAGTGTCTTCCCTCCTAGATATTACATTTACCAACAACTCAGCAACAAAATAACAGACCATGTAAAGTTACAGAGCTTGGGTTACAGTTTGAGTCCTGATGAATGTCCCTCCTGTGGCACTAACATCAGAGTAAACTGGGCGCTTCATAGGATGTATTTCCATGGCCTGCCAGCTCCTGTAGGTGTGATGGCTACGTGGCTCATTAATTTTGTTCATATGGTATAATTCTTATGTTTAAAATTGTGGGTGATTTCACACAACTTAAAGATATCACAGTAAAAGATAGATAAACATTATGAAATGCGAAATATGTGTCTGCGATCTTCTGTGGAAAGCTATTGTGTACCAGGTTGCTGAGAAAAATGATTGTGTCAATTGTGCAAAATGATTATTAGTAAAGAATGACACCTTTGTTATTTAGTAAGTTGCCTCTCAAATTAACATAAAAAGAAATGCTATTTTTTTCTTTGGCAATGTAATTCATTATTACTATTAACAGAAAATTTAATAACTCAAAACAACTTAAAGCTATAAAAATGTTAGGGAGCTGCAGAGACAGGGGATTTAAAGAATGATCAGGTGAAGGATTGTAAAACTTACCACTACTCCGACCCCCAGGACAACCAGAAAGTAGACCACAATAACGGAGATATCTGCCGCATTTTTAAGGGCCACCGTGTTGCCTGTGTTGTTTTCTGCATTTCTCTTTATGTAGGAAAATCCATAATACGAATAATCTTGTGACATTTTGGCTGTGATGGACAACGGCAGTGTTGCTCGAGCTGCCCCTGTTTGTCTGAAGCATTTACACAAAGCGATTACCTTTATAACCTTTGGTGTGTGTGTGTGTGTGTGTGTGTGTGTGTGTCTCTGTGTGTGTGTTGGAGAGATAGTGTGTCAAAGAAGGAGGCATAGATGTAAAGGAGGGTAATAAAGAGTGGATTTAATCATTGATCATGATTTAATCATCTAAATCATTAAAACACATACTAGTTGGAAGTGGATGCATGAACAGATTGGCATGTAAATCTTACGGTTTCACAAATGTTGGTTTAAAAATGAATGTGTTAAAATATGTAACTGTTTAGCAAATAATATTGTTAATTATAAACCTACAAGGAAATACCTCAAGTGAAGATACTTGAGATACAAAAACCTAACAGGTAGTATTTGTATCGCAGTGGGTTATAGCTCAAATTTAATAAAGTATAATCCAGTTTAGGTTGCTGCAAGTGTGTACATGACAGCTCTGTTAAACTATAACCATTTGCTGTGTCACTGATAAACTGATTGTGACAGCTTTGTTGATAAGTAAAACAAGAATAGCCGTCAAACACTGCCACTGAAAACTTGTCTCACTCATGTCAAGGAAACAAGGAAATATTTTTTTCTCACTTACTGCAAGTCTATGACAACTAATACGCACAGGAAATAATATTGATAAAATATGTTTTATTTCCCCTTTCTAGGTTATTTATTAGTCTCACTGCTGTTTGAGGAGGTCTGTAACAGACTGAAAAATACATGAGAACCAATGTCAGAATTAAAAATGTTACCTGTGATGTTCAGCCAAACCAAACAGCAACACCAAAACAACAAAGGAAACACATCAGAGGGTGATATGTATGATTTTTATGTATGTATGTTAAAGTCAATGGGTGGATACAGTTGATGTTGTGAAACTTTGCATGTTAATATCATTTGGATAAGACAGTCTTTGTTATTCCAGCAGTTGGGAAATTCACAATATTACAGTATCAGAGTGGACAGAGCAGGAATAAATAGATGCAGCACAAGCAAACAATATTATGAGGTGACTAAAGACGCAAGTACTATCAGCTGCCACTAGGTGTCCCTACAGTAACAGCTTTATGAGCCAGATGTCACTGAGCTCTGACAGGTGAAGAACAGGTTGTGTTAAAGTTTCTTTCCTTATGCTTTGTTTCCAGTTACTTTGCTTGACACCTGATAAACAAACTACATGATAGTGTTCAAGGCTCTGTTCTCACGTGTAATGCTCCCAGCTTGCTCTTAGCTTGTAGTAATTATTTGGTTGTGAAGACACAGGTGTGGTGTAGGTGTGGTTCCCAAAAAGCAACACCCTGCATTCCATGATCGTATGATTCACCAAACTCAGCGACCTTTTTTATGGCATCAGCATAATAAAGTTATTATTGTAGTTACTCATACAAGGTTTTTATGTCCTGGTGACCACTGCAATGAAAGCTAAATGGAATAATGGTTCAGAATACACAAACAAGAGCCCAAAGATGATCACAAATCATAGTGCTGGATTGTTCTTTACAAGTAAAGGCTAACCTGCAGCTTCATTCACAAAATATTTCAAATTTACCATTAAGATAAAGAAGAAAATTCATACTTAGCCCAAATGATCTTCAGACATTTTAGAACGATAAATAGCATACAAATGTGTAAATATTTATGCACTTCTTCAACATTTTTAAGTCTAATATGTATTAATATATTACTGTCTACTGGTTCACTTAAACTTTTAAATACCAGGAAGCGATAAAGAAAAACACAGTGCTCTAAACATATAAGGTTTAAACAGGGTTTTAGGGCTGAGGCCTACTGAGCAGTCTGTTAAATTTGTATAAATTAGAGAGTCAGCGAGCAGTTGAAATCAGCTGACTTTTAGCCAAAATAGGCATGACAGAACACAGCCACACACAGAAGGATGACGGCGTTGACATTGACTACGTTCCTCCACAGAGGCACCTCTGAGGTGTCTGTCAGCTTCCTTTTCAGCTCTTCCTCCTCTTCTTTAGTCAGCTTGGGGGCTTTTTTGGTTTCCAGGCCGCAGAAGCACATCACCGCTTTCTTCAAGAAGCCAGGCTCATCATCCTCTGCAAAAGAAGAAACAAGAAAAATGAAAGTTTGCATGTATTTGTTTATATGTATGCGTAACATGTGTTAAATACTTGTCAGTTTCACCCAAAACACCCATTTTTTAAATTAAATATTTCATTTTGCATCTCAATCTCCTACCTGTGTGATCTGAGTCTGTGTGCGTTCGTGTGTGTGTGCGCTGCGTGGTGACGTAGGCGCGCGCATGTGTGCCCCGGTCACAGCTTCTTTCAGCATGGCCGGAGGAGCGGTGTACTGGCAGGCGCGTGACACACACAGATCAGACCCTTATTTCTGTGTTGCAGATGTGCAGTAAAGCAGCGGTCCCCAACCCTTTTTGCGCCACGGACCGGTTTATGCCCGACAATATTTTCATGGACCGGCTTTTAAGGTGTCGCGGATAAATACAACAAAATAAAACTAGTACCGGTACCGAAAAAAAGAAAATTTATTCATAACACACGTGAAAAGACCAAGGAAAACCGAATAAACGATAAAAACGACTCACGGACCGGTACCGGGGGGCGGGGGTTGGGGACCGCTGCAGTAAATAGCCAAAGACCCAGTGCTGTCTCCAGCCTCTTACTTTAACGCCAGAACACAACGCAACAACAACAGGCCTAACACATGAACGGATTACATATGAATTAGGGCTGCCACGATTAGTTGACTAGTCACGATTATGTCGACTATTAAAATCATCGACGACTAATTTAATAGTCGACGCGTCGTTTGAAGCTTTGTAAGATCCCAAAAGACACAGGAATGAGTAGTAGGATTTAAGAGTGTAATAACGGACTGAAACAGAAGATGGCAGCACTGCATGTACAAGGATGCCAGCTGCC